GATCCCAGCACTGGAAGGACGTGGAGCACCAAGGTGATCAGAGGGATGGAGCAGCTCTGGTGTGAGGAAAGGCTGAGAAAATTGGAATTGTCCAGCCTGGGGAAGAGAAAGCTCCAGGGACACCTTAGAGCCCCTTCCAGTGCCTGAAGGGGATGCAGAAGAGCTAGAGAGGGACTTGGAACAGGGGTGGAGTGACAGGACAAGAGGGAATGGCTTTAAATTGACAGAGGTCAGGGTTAGATGGGATATTGGGAAGAAATTCTTTCCTGTGAATGTGCTGAGGCCCTGGAACAGGTTGCCCAGAGAAGCTGTGGCTACCCCATCCCTGGAAGTGTCCAGTGCCAGTTTGGACAGAGCTTGGAGCACCCTGGGATAGTGGAAGGTGTCCCTGCCTATGGCAGGGGGCTGGAATGAGATGGTTTTTAGTGTCCCATCCAACCTAAACTATTCTGTGATTTTGTGATGATTCCCTGAAGACCCAGGGTGGGGACCCACCACCATCACCTTTCCATACCCACCACGAGTCCAGCACAGGTGACTCTGCAGTCTGCCAGGACCAGCTCCAGCAGGAGGATGTGCAGATTATCTCAATGCACTTTGCCTCTGTCTTTGTCAGAGATTTGGGGGTTTTGTTGGCACTGCAGCCTAAAAACATTTTGTCCCAAATCCTCTCCCTCCACCTTAAAAATCTGCAGCTAAAATGAAAGTCAGAGCTGAATGAAAGAGACCCCCAGTGCCACCAGGATGATGAACACCTCGAGTCTGCAGCTGGTTTTACCCCAGTTCTGAGTGTGGGTGCTCCTTCCTTTCCCACTGTTTTTTTCCCTTCACAATCCTGGCACCAGGCAGGGACTGATAAACATTTCCCTCCTTCCCAGAAGCTCCTGGGCTGTGTCAGGCCAGAGTGATGGCTCTGTCCCTGGCTCCTGGTGCTTTCAGCCCCTGTCTGGGGCCAGTCCTGGCTGTCTCAGAGGCACTGAGCCAGCTCCAGTGCCTTTTCCAGCCAGATTACACATCCCTCTCTCCAGGATTTCTCTTTCTTTTCTGTGCATAGCTCAGTTTTCCCTCCTGTCTGCAAGGATTGTTAAGACCCCACAGTGAAGCTGGAGGGAAGTGCCAGGGTTGGAGCATGAGCCCAGTGCCTGTTTCTCTGTGCTGCTCAACTGGCCAAGACCCCATAAAAACTTTTTTCCATATGGAGGGAAAGAAAAGGGGAGCTGTTCCCAGGAGCCTGATACCAATTCCCAGGGTGCCCTGTGCCAAGAGGAGATTTTCTATTGTCTCCCAGCATCCTTCCCATAGCTCTGCCAGGCTGATTAACCTGCTCAGAGATCCCAGTGGGCACCAAGTCCTTCTGCAGCCGCCCCTGAGCCAGCACTTCCCTCACAGCCTCACCAGACCTGATCCTTTCCTGAGAAATGCAGAACTAAAAGCAAGTCTCCCTTCTTCATTTCCTCGTTTTCCAGAGCTCTTTTTCATCTTCTAACTGTGAATAAACACCTTTGGGGTCACTATGCTCACCACAGTCACAGGTAGACTGATAAAGAGGATGGAAATCACCATGTGGGGTCAGACCCAAGGGCAGTTTCTGCCTCCCCCTCCATGGCAGAGTGAAAAGGAGCTTGGAAAGATAAAAGGGCCAGGCTGTGGTGGTGCATCTTCAAAAAGATCCCCAAAACTGCAGGAATTTGTGCTCAGAGACCCCTTGATGCAGAGTGGTGTCACTTCACTGGATGGCACCGAATGGATGCTGGTTTTGTGAGTGTTTCCGTGTAATTTTCATGAGTTTGGAAGTTTTCAGGATGGACAGAGAGCTGTGGAAAGGTGGCCTGGAGGTTGGCTGGGCACTGTGGGCAGGCCCAGCTCCCGGGGTTCACTCCTTGGTTGCTCTGGAGTTCCTTTGTTGGAAGGGATTATCCCAATCCCCACCATCAGTGGTCCATTCCTATCATCCACAAGCCTCTCAGAGCTTCACAGACCTCTTTTACATCCAACCATAATCTCTTTTAGGGCCTGATAGTGGGAATTTACAATCTTTCCTCCCACAGGACATTCTCTATAACTTTATCCATGGCTGGAAACTGGCCACATTTATCATTTTCCCTTTATCCTTCTCTCAGGAAGCCCACAGAGTGCCCAGAATATTCAAGATGCAGGTGCAGAATGGAGCTGTACACTGCCAGAATAATATTTCCTGTTTCATTTTCTCTTCCTTTCTTATTTTTTTTCTCTTCTCAACAACTCACAACATTTAATATCTGGGGTTTGAATAATTATTGTCACCCTTAGGTGGTGTTCCCCAGTGACAGGGCTGATCAGAGGCCGCTGCTGTAGATGTGAGCTCATCATTTTTTTATTTTGTCAGGTTTTTGGGTTTGTTTTTTTTTCCTTCAATTTCTGTTCCCTCCCTGGCCTTGCATCTCCTCTTGCTCACTGGCCCATGACAGGGAGGGCTCTGAGGTTTGCTGATCACGTTCAGGGTGCATGATCAGATCTGGGAGCATCCTCCCAGCATGAAGGAGAGGCTGAAGGTCAGGAGTGTGGCAGATGGAGAGAGACTGCTAAAACAGGGATTGGCTGCAAACAGAACCTGATGCTGAAGGTGGCCATAAATAATGCCATCAAAAAAGGCCTCTTGTTTGAGGGGAAAAACAGAATTATTTATGAACTTCACGCATAAGATCACTTGTCCTGCTCTCTAATACAGCTGTGGACATCAGCACCTTTGAAAACTTGTGGCATCACAGCAGTGGTGGAAGGAAAAAAAAAATGTTTTCCATTGAAAAAAGTATGTCTTGAACAAGGTTGTTTTTCTTCACCTTTTGGGAAACTTAATTTCATTCCAGTTTTTTTCTCCATTTGTGCTTTTTTCGCTGTGTTCCTTCCAGCTGTATCTTTCCAGGCAGACTGATGGTCTCCAAAAAACACTGTAGGTGGAAATTTCCTCTCAGGAAACTTCCAGCTTGTCTCATCAAGACACACACAAGAGTTAAATAGGTTCCAATTTTAGTTGTAGTGATTCTAAAGTAAGTTCCAAAAAAGATAATGGAATAAATCACGAATTTTATCACTTTTTCTCTTGTATTAGTATTAATCACTGTCGTGTTATGTCATGGAATAAAGTAAGAATAACTCCAGCAGCATAAGGAAAGCTCTGTATTGTAGACTTTAATTAAAACCTCAGCTGCAGATTTCAAGAAATTGAGAATTGAGTGGTTTACATTCTTTTGAGCAATACTTTTACACAACCTGATTAAAAAAAAAAATCTCTTTAAAATGACTTGAAAACTTATTTTCCTCCCTTTGAATGAAAATAATTTCAGAATGCCTTCACTTCACTTGGAGATGTTTACCTGGATTGTGCATTCCCCATTTTCTAACCACCAAAAAGTCTCACCCAGAGCCTTCCTCCTGGGAGTAGTGAAGTGCAGGACCAACTTCAAGCACATTTTATTTTTACATTAAAGTTTGCACGAGCAGAACTCCTGCCTTGGGTGACCCAATGAAAGCTGCCCCTGCAGGGATAATTCCACAGCAGCTTTCCTGTCAGCACTGCAGTGTGGAGCTGGGACAAACAGCCTGACAAAAACATCTCGGGGAAGGACAAACTGAGGAGCTGAGGCTGCTGGATGTGCCTGCAGCAGATGGGGATGGAAGTTTCCTACGGAGCTACAAGGCTCTAAGCAGCATCCTGGAGTGACCCCACAGCCTTTTGTGGCTTCATCTCCCCTCAGTCAATACATTTTGGTGACAGCCTCGAGCTGTGCCCCGTCCTGGTGACATGTCCCCTGCACATCTGGCTCCTCACCTTCTCTCCAGGCTTTTCCCTCCTTGTTGTCATCCTCCACACTTTCCTCCCACCCTTCCCACTTCTCCTTTGGCAGGTGGCTCAAAAGGGCTCTGTCATGTCCAGGGAAGCCTTTTCTTGCCCAGTGTTGGAGTGTTTTTGTGGAGATAATGAACTGTGGAAAGCATCACTGGTGTTTGGAGGGGAGAAGTTGAGTGGAACAACTCATTTAAAACCTTTCCTTTCTCTACCCACTGAGGAACACACCCATTTTCCAGCCCCTCAGCCCTCCCCAGAGCATATCAGCAAAAACATGGAAAGATTTTCTGGATCAATATCTGTGGTGGGGTGCTGGCGGGAGACTGGGTAATTAAAGCCTCCAGGGCTTGATGTGGAGTTGGTGGAAATGTTTTCAGCCTCCGAGCTGAGCTCCAGCTCCTCAAGCAGCACAGATTTGTTTCCCTGGTGGAGCAGGGAGCAGGTTTTGCTGCAATTAAAGAGTCTGCAAACAGCTGTGCATCAAATGCAATGGGTGTTCAGGAAGACCTCATTGTAATCTAGATTTCATACGTGGGTTGGGTTGGAAGGGACCTTAAAGATCTTATGGTTCTTGATAGTTTCTTATAGTTCTTTAAGACCTTAATAGTTCTTTAAGATCTTATAGGATCTTATAAATCCTATAGTTCATGTAGTTCCACCTATAGTTCCAGAATCCCAAGGCCCTGTCCAAGCTGGTCTTGGATACTTCCAAGGATGGGGCAGCCACAGCTTCTCTGGGAATTCCATTCCAGGGCCTCCCCACCCTCACAGGGAAGAATTTCTTCCCAATATTCCATCTAAATCTGACCTCCTTCATCTTAAAGCCATCACCCCTTGTCCTGTCACTACATCTGTGGAAGTAGAAAAAGAGCTGATACTCTCAAAACCACTCTCAGTTTTTCAGTAGCAAAAACCTCAGCTGAAGGCTGAAATATCCAGTCATTAAATGATGGAGGTGGCAGTGGAACGAAAAACAATATTTTCTTCTTGAAAATAGACAGTTTGTAAGCTAAGTGTCATTTTCATTGATACCCCACTTTATTTTGGGTGAGAAGCTGCACGGAAAAAACGATTTGTTGATACAAGAGGAGGTAAAATCATGGTCTTTCTTGCATTTAGCACTAACTTTTCTTTCTTTCTCTCTCTCCTTTCTCACACTTCCCTCCTCCTGCAGCAAGAAAAACAGCAGACACCAAACAAGAGACCCTGGGAAGGCATCAGGAAAGTCCAGTCCCCGCCATCATGGGTTAAAAAGGACATCGAACCTGTGGCACAGTCTCCCCTAGAACTAAAAACTGTAGAGTGGGAGAAAACAGGGGCCACCATCCCCTTGGTGGGACAAGACATTATTGACCTTCAGACAGAGGTCTGAGCAGAAAGGGAAGAAAAAGGACTTTTTTTTTTTCCGGAAAACAAACGAAACAAACAAAACAAAACCACGTTTTAAAGAAATGATTAAATTAAATCGGAACCGAGCGAGAGAAGTGTTTGGTTTCTTTTGAAACCTTTGGTAAGATGGAGTAACTTTTGTATTGTTCTCAGCAGAGAGGGGGAATATTACTTTATAGAGTATAGTAGCTGTAGGTTCAGGACAACACGAGCTTTCCCAGGCAGGACTGGAGGAGTGAGCCTGGAAGAGAGCGAGGAGGAGGAGGAGGAGGAGGGTGGGGAGGGGCTGCAGGGGACGAGCCCTGCCAAGATGGTCTCTGGTCTCTGCAGCACACCAGGAGCCCTCCTGCTCTGCCACGGGGAGGTGTGGAAGGATGCCCAGCAGCCACCACAGAGGGCCCAGAAGATCAGGGTTGTTTGGGGACACCGAGAGGGGACACCTGCGGGAGCCTCGCTGGGATGTGGCCTGGCTGGGGCAGACCCAGCCTGGAGGGACATCCCTGGCTCCCCCACCTCTCCCTCACCAGCTCATCCAAGAAGGAAGGAGATGGGACACGCCAAGAAGTGGCCACAAGGACATTGCCACTCCTGGGTGCCACGCCACGACCTGGCATTGGCGCACGGTCACAGCGGGTCCCCGTGGAGGGGACGTGGTGGAGTCACCCGCGGCTGGGGTGGAAAGGAGAGGTGGGGCTTCCTCCTCTCATCCCTCCCCAGTGGAGGAAAGGACCAGCTCCAAATCTCCAAATCCTGCTCGCCCCATCTCCAGGGAGAGGGTGGAAGGTGGTAGACAAGACCAACAAGAAGAATGTAGGTCATGTCATTGACTGTTAAATAGATAAACTCAGCAAGGGCCTTGCAAAGGTCCTCTCGGCCTCATCCTTTTTTTTTTTTTTTTTTCCTTTTTTTTTTTCTGTTCTGTTATTTGTCCTTGCTTTCGGACTCAAATTTATTCCAAGCTGCCCCTCCCTGGAAGGCAGAGAGAGAAAAAGGGAAAGACAGATCTGCCACTGTACCTGGAGATATTGGTAAACAGAGACGTTGCCTTAGGACATTGAGACAAACTGACAACATGAATAACGTCCACTTGGAAACAAACAGACAAAAAAAAATACAAACAAAATAATCTATTTTTTTCCTTCTTCTTTTCTTTTCTTCAATAAAAAGAGAACTTGAAACCCGAGACCTTTCTTTTCTTTGGCTCCTGTCATTTCGAATGCCTTTCTGTGCTGTAGGACTGCTCAGGCATGGGGTGAGGATGCCACCTGCTGAAGGTGGAAGGCAAGTTGCTCCATGGAAATTTTGGGATGGTGGGAATACACAGCCCCTTCACCGCTGGCTTGCAGTGCTTTGTTTTGCTTTATTTGGTTTGGGTTTTGGTTATTTTCCCCTCACGGGCTCTTCTCCGCCCTCCCTGCTGCCCAGAGCCAGCAGCAGGTTTGTGGTCCTACAGGAAGGAAGAGGTGGAGCTGATCAGGAGAGCAGGACATTCCCTCTCATAAAATGCAGTCTTTTCATTTCACTATGAAAAAAAAAAAAAAAAGATTTAAATTTTTTCATTTAACATTACTCAAGGTTATTAAAAAAAAAAAAAAAGAAGTGTCTACATTTCACCCCAAAAAGTGTTGTGCAATATTTTTATCATTAAAAAATGTACCAGTGGCATTACACACAGGCTTTATTTCTTTATTATTACTTTTGTCATTCCCAGCACTGTCTGTCTGATGTTTGGACCAACTCTCCCAGTTTTGGAAGTGGATGGAGACAAACCTCTGGCTGTGAGTGGCCAGATTGTGCCAGACAGCAGCGAAGCTTGAACAGAGTCTGAATTATTACTATGCTTGGGTCTCCTTTTAATTAAAAAATACCATACCTCACATTTTTAGGGAAAAATGACCAGTGGGTACAAGATGCCAAGCAATCACTGCCCCCAGCTGTGCTTCCCCCATGGGGAGTTGCTTGATGTGACAAATCTCTGCTTTGACTTCCCTTTGGGCCACATGGGTGATCTCCAAGGACAGAGGCATTTACCTTGCCATTAACGACAGCATACGAAGGATGGAAAGGAAAATTTAAATAAATCCAAATAGTTTAAAAAAATAGGGAAAGTGGTTGCTCATAAAACTGTGACATTGTTCAATATTAGCTTATTCATGAAACAGGAAAGCACAAAGGCCTCCCTCAGATGCTGGGTTGTATAATATTGTAATTATTATAATTACACATGATGAATTTTAGCATACAGGTATCTTTCTACTGTGTTTTAATTATTTTCTTTTTTTTTTTTCCTTTCCCTTCTGCCCACCTGAGCCTGCCCTCTTCACTCCAGCCTTCCCTACTCACCCATTCACTGCAGCCGCCTTTGCAGGACATTAACGGTGTTATGTAATTACAGAGATAAATGTTTGTTTAAGAACTGTTGATATTCGACTTTCTCTGCTCAGCTCCTCCGGTTAATCCTGTTTTCCCATGTCCTGCCCTCCTTCCATGCCTTCCCCTCCTTCCTCTCCGTGTTCGTCAACACTTTTTTTTTTTTTTCTGTACAGTTTTCAGAGCACAAAATGAATGTGTCTTATTTCTAATAAAAGAGGTGGAAACTCCAGCCCTGTCTGCTTTTTACAAGTGCCTCTGCCTGCATCCCATGTGTGCTTTGCATCTCTCCTGGGGGCTGGGAAACCTCTCCTGGCCCCACAGCTGCCACCTGGGCTCTCCATTCTTTCCAGAGTCACGACATGGGACTGAATTTACCCAAATTTCAGCTTTGTATCCTCTCCACACCTCTAAAAATACATGTCCCTACAAAGTACATTTGCAGGACATGAGGAATCCCCTTTTCTGTGCAGTGCAGCTTGTTTTTATTTAGATTTCTCAAACCCACAGCCTTATGCCTCTTTCCCAGTATCATAGGATGTGAAGGGCTGAGATTTAACACAGATCTGGCAGCATTTCTGCTACAGGACAGGGGTGTGGGGTTAACGTTTCCAGCAGGGCCATGGTAATTCTGATGCCACCCTGCCCACATCCTTGCAAAGCCAATCACAGAATTCCAGAATGGTTTGGGTTGGAAGGGACCTTAAAGATCATCCTGTACCACCCCCCTGCCATGGGTAGGGACACTTTTCACTATCCCAGGGTGCTCCAAGCCCTGTCCAGCCTGGCCTTGGACGCTTCCAGGGGATGGAGCAACCTTCTCTGGAAAACCTGTGCCAGGGCCTCCCCACCCTCACAGGGAAGAATTTTTTCCCAATATTTAATCTAAATCTAAATCTACCTTGCTTCAGCTTAAAGCCATTCCCCTTGTCCAATCCCTCAGTACCATTGTAAGAAGTACCTCTCCATTTTTTTTTGTTGTCCCCCATCAGGTACTGGAAGACCCAACCTCACCTGGATTTCCCTGGCACCTCCTGCATGACCAGACAGGACTCTGAGCAGGAGCATGGCTCAGTACACAGGGGTCTGAGGATATCACTTCCAAAATGTGCAAAAAAAAAATTAATTGAGCAACAAATTATTCACTTCCTTTGTGCTTATCCTCGAATGGCTGAAATCATCCAGAAAAAAAAAATTAAAAATTGTGTCTTTACTTCCCTGACTGTGCTCCATCACCTGTTAGACTTTAGGATTATAGGCAGGACTACAAGAAGCCTAAATCTTGGGAAAATGGGCTCCAGGACTGCTGCTCTCCAGAGGCTGAATCCAAAGCCATCACAGCCCAGTAGGTCCTCAGATGTAAAATTTATCTTGGCCTGGCTGAAATAATGTGGATGTCCTGACAAATCTGGAATGACTGCAGACCCGTGGGGCTGCCTGGAGGCTCTTAGCCCAACTCCCCCTTCCCTGAGCCATGATCCAACGTTTCTTAAACCAGCAGCACTCACTGGTGAGTCCCAGGCCTTCATCCTTCCTATGGGAGTGTTTCTCACCCTACATCTGCCATTCCGTGGACTTGGCAGTGCTGGCTTGGACTTGGTGATTTTAAAAATCTTTTCCAACCTAAAGAATTCAATGATTGTGTTGCATTAGGGAAGGGAAGGGAAATACCACCTGTAACTTCCTGAGGTGATGGGCTGGGAGAGCAGGAGAACCCAAGCCTTGGATCACTGGCCTAGAGCTGGCTCAGGAGGTCCTGCTGCTTCCCACCAAAGGAGGCTGGAAGGAGGGAGCACTTCTCCTCACTGTGGGATTAAAAATGAAAGCACTGCCAGTGGTGGTGGGTGCAGGAGGTCAGTGTGGTTTTGGTTTGCACTGGTGGGGCTGCAAGGGAGGGTCACTGAGTGGTTTAGCTTGGAAAGGAACTCCTGAGATCCCCTTGAACTTTCCTGTGTCCCTGTGGTCCTGCCTTGCAGCCATCCAAGGCTCTAGTCCTAAGGCAAAGACAGAACTCCTGGGGACACATCATTGCAGCCTCCCAGTACTTGAGGGATGGTTATAAAAATGAGGGAGAAGGACTTTTTGCATGGGTAGATGGTGAAAGGACAAAGGGACTGGTTTGAAACTAAAAGAGGTGAGATCAAGATGAAATACTGGGAAGAAATTCTTCCCTGTGAGGGTGCTGAGGCCCTGGCACACCCAGAGAAGCTGTGGCTGCCCCATCCCTGGAAGTGTTCAAAGGTTGGATGGGGCTTGGAGCAACTTGGGATAGTGGATATTGTTCCATGGCATGGGGGTGGAATGAGATGATCCCAAAGGTCCCTTCCAACCCAGCCTATTCACTAACTCTAAATTCACCATCATTTCACATGGATGAAGCACAGCAATGCTGTGGAGGTGGATAAATTGTACATTGCACATGCAAGAATTTGTATGTCTTGGTTGCTAAACTGGGAAAACATGGCTGTGCTGGAAAATTGTGAAGAGCTGAAAATGGAAGAAAATGCAAAGTCTGTTGCCTGGGCTGCTCTAATGGATTTACTTGACCTCTTAACCAAACCAGCAGTAGTTTGGCCCAAAACACAGAGCAGGCAAAGCCTGAGCCAAGAACTC